CCACAACATATTTTTCCATCTCTTTTCTGCTGTTTTGAGAATGCACTCCATTGCTAAATCACATAATGTAACCTTGGAGAAGAAAAATCCTTTGGGTTAAGGCATTAGAATAAGAGAATTAATCTGGTTTGAAAATCCTGCCCTTCTGAGGGTCTACTTTTGTCATTTACTTAGTTTAGAAGATGAATATGGCAAAATATATTATTTATTAAAGTTGATATAGGCACTAGGCTGTAGCTTCTTTTACTCACACACTCATACATTAAAATTAATAGGAAAGAAGCTTCTAGCAGTTTAAACAGAATTTGCCTATATGGCAGTAGGAGTAGGAGTCTTTCCTGATTTTTGTAAATTATTTAGCACTGATACAAATATTTTAAACCTCAAAATTGTGGATTTTTTTTTTTTTTGCTTGCTTGCTTGTTAGCATTTTAAGCACACTTGTAATTTCAAGTGCTATTGGTATTTCCTTAGAGAAGCCAGAATGTCTTTTCTTGCAGCATCATAAAGCCTGTAATGGCTTTGATTTTATTTTGCCAATACTGATTATAGTTACTAATTGTTGCTGCCACTATAATCAGTGTATAAATGGGGAGAATTCTGGAGATTTTATGTACCACATTTTTGGGTGTTGATTAAACAAAACCTGAGTAAAGGTGTTAGAAATTGTGTTGATAAATATACAGATGTGTGCTGATCTCGTACATTGAAGTTTGTGTCTGCCATATGTTGATGAGAGTTATGTTTTCCTCCTTTGCACTGAAGGAAAGTTAGAACTGTGTTACAGTCCACCAGTGACTACTTCTACTACAAGTGAAATATGTGTTTGGGAGTTCAGTTTTCTTTCTTTTGAGCTTTTTCAGCCCTCCAATAGCTGCTAGACTGTTCACCCACACCCAATTTTCTTCCATGCCTCCGTAGTGTGGAGACATCATGTTCTGCTAGAGAACATGGTAACAATGTGCTGCAAAACCAGTGTAGAAGTCTAAGGCTCAGTTGGAGAGTGTTCCTGAAGCCAGATGACCTGTTCCACAGCCTTGTGTCACAATTGAGGAGCTTCTCCTGTATTTTCTAAATATAGATATAGATACCTACATTTGTAGGTTAAATTCCTAGCACTCATTTTTAAGTAGTGACCCAAAACGAATTTTAAAACTGTAATTGTCACAAATAGCAAGACAAGGTGATAAAAACAATATAGCTTTTATCTCTTAAGTCCTTTTTTCTGCCTTGGAGTGTCACAGATTAGGTGTGGGTCACACAGAGCACTGTAGTCAGATTGTGTTCAAACAGTAGCATGAGTTGATTTGGACAGGAGCTTCTAAACACATTGTGATTCACAGACCTCTGTTGCTTCCCTCAGACTCAGTGAAGCTTCTCTGCGTTCTGTCAAATGCCTACAGAGCATCCAGGTGGTGTGCAGGGTTTAGCCCTGCTTTCTAAACTCATACAATAAAATGAAGTCTTCCACAGCAAACTGACCTCAGACATGGAGGCTGGTAAGAGCCAGTAGCACCCTACACAGGAGACAGCCTGGGAATCACGTTGCCCTCCCCATTGCTGCTGCAGCTGCTTGTCAGAGGGGAAAGCTGGAAGTAGCCCTTCCGAAGATACCTTGAGGTGCAACACGTAGAGAATCCCAAGCAGGCTGCAATAAACTTAATTTGGAAAGGTTCAAAGGTTTTCATAAAAAAAAAGATGCAGGACAGATGAGTGGGGATAAAATAGTGTGGAATGGATAGAGAAAGTTTAGGTTCAAGATTCGGATAGATTGTACATCTCATATGAGTGCCAACAGAATCTTTGTATCAGAATCTTTGCAACCACTGCTGTAGTGGTTTAGGGAAAAGTTAAACATTACTGGTTTCAGTGAAACATTTTTTTACAACTCCAGGACTATTCTCAGTAGAGACATAATTCAGTATGAACCAAGTTGCATATGCCAAACTTAGTACAGCAGAGAAAATGTATTGTAACAGAGATGTCCATGCCTTCTGTGCAGATCATCACACATCCCAAATCCAGAAATGAATGCAGGTACCATTTCTCTGAAGTTATGTATGTGGTGTTAGTATGTGGCGTTGCTTGTGTATTTATACAGTATTTATTGGGGACCAAAGGCAGGACAATAAAATGAAAGCAGATGGATGAAGTTCTAAGATATTAATAAGGCATTAATATTAAACTTCCTCTAAAAGACTTGTGGTTACCAAGTCCTGGTTTACATTAGTGCCTGTCTTTTACAGAATCTGTAATGTCTGTCATTGCAGCCCAAGTGACACCTCTGTGATGCCATTTTAGATGTGAGTAAAGGCATGAATTTGTAGTTCCAAAAGTAACCAGTCTGTTGGATGCAAGTGCAGATAAGAACTCAGTTCTTATAAATTCTTCTACCTCAATATAGTAACCCACATATCATTTAGTTGATGTATGCTGAAGATAGCCTGAATTTCTCCTCAGTTTCAAGTGACTGAATGATGAGAGTGACATGCCTTTCATGAATCATTCGCATGGCTAAAGACACACAATAGGAAGTTGCCTGGTACAACTCAGTAGGGGACACCTGACACATGGATTTGGTGGATTTAGAACACCTGACTATAAAGCTCAATGATTTCAAGTCCAAAAACATTTTCAAATACATTTAATTATTGTCTTTTTTACTAGCAAGTCAAAATACATATAGCTAATGCATGTATTTGAAACTCAATACAGTATTTAACAGACTGAACTGCTGGTGCATTTTTGATACCCTTCACTGATTCTTTGTTTCACAGGGGTTCACAGTGAGGAAAAAGTGTTTCAAATTAATCTCAATAAGAAGGTGGTTTTGGTTTTTCATCTACCCCCTCTGACAGAATACAGAAACAGTAATAAATTTAATACATCATATGTGAAAGCCATGAATAAAAGCAGCCTTTATTTTCAGCTCCTTTATGTGACATTCCCAACAATAGTACAGGACCATAAGATTTAGCTGAAATTTTTCTTTAATCGCTCAGCTTGTTAAAAACACCCACTCCACTAGTTCTGTGTCAAAATGATTTAAAGTATCAAGTAGAGTTCGTCCTTATTCAGAACTAGTCAATGTCTTTGATAATGGCTTGGATGAAAGGATAATAAGGGATTTATGTTTCCAGAAAATCAGAAGGTCAAATGGTTTTTTAGTACTTTTGAAAATACAATTTGGATTGAGAATGATCTTGACTGGAGCAGTGGCCTAAAGTATTAGTAGAGAGTTGGATAATGATAGAGAAAGCATGACACTCTGTGTAAGTTCTGCAGAAAAAAATCATAAACAAAGAAACCAACCACAAAAAAAAAAAAAAAAAAAAAAAAAAGGTGAGAATAGTACTCAGACATAAGCTTAAATATGCATCAGCAACATCATAGTGCACTATGACACCACAGTCTTACATGGTGATATACAAGCAAGAATGGCATAGCTTGTTACCATCAAAGAGATTCTTCCAACCAATTCACTACTACTACAGCCTTAAGAGGAAGGTTATATCTGGTTTTCAACAGCAAACATTAAAGTTTTCAATAACAGAGAACTGTGAGTTAAGCAACAGAGATTTAGAAAATATGACCTAAGATGCATTGCAATACTTTTTTTGTTCACTGAGGAAGAAGTTCACACCAATATTATAATGCATCTGAGGTGGAGAAGAAAAAGAAGGTAACAAAATATTATTCATTCTGTATGGATGAAAAATTTTCTAGGGTTGCTCTGGAACATAAACCCAAAAGTGGAAAATGGAGCAATGAGTTTAAGGGTTTAAAGCTTCTGCATATGTTAGAGGAAAACCTGTCTGAGAGGATATCAGAGCATGGGAAAGGTTTTCCTGAGGAAGTTTTGGTATCTTCATTACTGGATGTTTTCCAAAATAACTTACACAACAATTCTTGAAATGGTTTAGGCCTTTCCTAACCTCTTTTTAGGACCAGTTTGATTTAACAAGCTTTATGTGATTTGAATACTATGTTTAATTTTGAATGTTGATACTAGCTGCAATTGCTGAATTGTTGCTTTCTGTCTGCCCCAAACTAGCTGGGCCTCTGTACTTCTCTCTTCTCTGACCTAATTTTTTTTTGTCACCTTACACCTTTCTCCACTTTATAAATAAAATAAATGAAGAAGAAAAAAAAAAAAATCTGAGAGGATATCAGAGCATGGGAAAGGTTTTCCTGAGGAAGTTTTGGTATCTTCATTACTGGATGTTTTCCAAAATAACTTACACAACAATTCTTGAAATGGTTTAGGCCTTTCCTAACCTCTTTTTAGGACCAGTTTGATTTAACAAGCTTTATGTGATTTGAATACTATGTTTAATTTTGAATGTTGATACTAGCTGCAATTGCTGAATTGTTGCTTTCTGTCTGCCCCAAACTAGCTGGGCCTCTGTACTTCTCTCTTCTCTGACCTAATTTTTTTTTGTCACCTTACACCTTTCTCCACTTTATAAATAAAATAAATGAAGAAGAAAAAAAAAAAAAAAGGAAGGATTCAGTATGTAATGTGTTAAATTTCTTGTAATGTGTTAAATTTTGTCATAAATAGGATGAAATATGGAAGGCAGAAAAGGCTTTTCTTTGTAATCTTCTGACATTAATCTTCTTTCTAGAGTGCCTATGGTGTCCACTGATCCCATAGCCCCTGTGTTAATATTATTTTTCCAGCAGCTTGATTCAGGGATAGTATGGTCTCCAGCAACACTGACAGATTGCACAAGGAGAGTATTGCGTAGTGGCTGATAATGCTGTGGAAATTGTTTCAGGGAGCTGGTGCAATGCAATGCTTTTGTATAGACACTGTATCTTTTTATATGGACTAACAGGCTTTCACAGTTGCTTTTTAGATGCATACATACCACGACTGAGGCAAGTATATATATCTGCTTTTGGAATGCAAGCAAATTTCAAAAGACCATATTTTGACAGAATTGTGTGCAAATAACATGTGTCTTGTTTTTCCCTTCCTTCCCCACCACTTTTAGCTGGCTGTGAGGTGGTTGGAACACAACTGCCGCTACCAGTATCTGGATGAACTTCTCCAGTACGTCCGCTTTGGCCTTATGGATGTGGATACACTGCATACTGTAGCTCTCACTCATCCTCTTGTCCAAGCCAGTGAAACTGCGACAGCGCTCATTAACGAGGCCTTGGCTTACCACCAGAGCGTCTATGCACAGCCAGTTTGGCAAACTGCAAGGACAAAGCCTCGCTTCCAGTCAGATACTCTTTATATTATTGGTGGGAAAAAGCGGGAAGTCTGTAAAGTGAAGGAGTTGCGATACTTCAATCCGGTAGACCAGGAGAACGTTCATATTGCGGGGATCGCCAACTGGAGCGAGCTGGCGCCTATGCCTGTGGGGAGGAGCCACCACTGTGTTGCTGTCATGGGAGACTTTCTTTTTGTAGCTGGTGGAGAGGTAGAGCACTCCACAGGGCGCACGTGTGCCGTGAGAACTGTCTGTCGATATGACCCCCGCACTAACTCCTGGGCGGAGATAGCTCCGATGAAGAACTGCCGGGAACACTTTGTGCTGGGAGCTGTGGATGAGTACCTCTATGCCGTAGGGGGCAGAAACGAATTGCGTCAAGTGTTGCCCACAGTCGAACGCTACTGCCCCAAGAAGAACAAGTGGACCTTTGTACAGTCCTTTGATCGATCGCTCTCATGCCATGCGGGATATGTGGTGGATGGTCTTCTTTGGATATCAGGTAGAAAACGTTTCACACAGTTTGAGGTACTAACAAAATACCAAAATACTGTCTTGAATTAAAGTAATAAATCTTTGGTTTATATGTCATGATAACTTTTCTCTGCGGAGAGAACAAGGAACTGAAACCTCATTAGAAGTATAGGAGCGTAATGTATCTTGTACATTACACTCAGTATTTCAGAGCTGCTGATATCATATGTGCTATCTCCAGTTGCCATTCATAAATCACAGTGAACTGGAATGATAATGCACTTTTGGACAAATTTCCCTTGATAAATTCTATGAGCTTCCTAAAAACAAACAAAAAAGGACATTGTTTCTGTAATATGATCTGGTACTTTTGACAGTCACAGGACCCGAGGGAATGGCCTGAAGTTGTGTCAGGGGGAGATTTAGGTTGGATATCAGGGAAAGGTTCTTCACCCACAGGTTTACTGGGCACTGGAACAGGCTCCCCAGGGAGGTGGTCATAACATCACCCTGACAAAGTTTGGGACGCGTTTGGACAATACTTTCAGGCACATAGTGTGGTTCCTGCGCCTGTGCAGGGCCTGGAGTTGGACTTTGATGATCCTTGTGGGTCCCTTCAACTCAGAATATTCTATAATTCACTTATTCCTGATGATGAAATGGAAAATTAAGTGCTTGTTAACTTGTGTTGTTCCAGGGCTTGAAGGCAAATGTATGATTTACTCCCACTTGCTTTTCACAATATTGAAACACACCAAGATGACCATTTTTAGAAATCATCCATGGCTCTGTCCATAACAAGTGCACAAGGCTGTCTGGATGTAATCATGGCTTTACAGCACAGATAGATGAATGTATAGACCCTGTAATCCTAAAAGAACATGTCATTTGCAATTGAGTCTTTACTTGTTATGTTCCATTGATGGTGGTGGGAGGATTTAGTTACCCTGGTCCTCGTAGTGGGTATTAGTTATTTTGGAATATGGCTGATGCTGTCTACAGAAGATTTGACAGAAAAATATTCCTCCTTTACTAAGAAGTGTGTCATGGAAGGTTATATAGTTATAATATTTATTAAGGAAGCTAATGAGTAAATGGGGCCAGCCCTTGAGGTAAATGTTCAGTGATTGGCATCTTCACCGTAGATACCCTCTAGGGATTTTAATATGGTCTGGAATGCCTGTGGTGAAAGGATGGAATATGAATGGAAGATTAAGTTAGCTTCTTAGGCCTGTACTGTGCTTCTCAAAGTGTGCCATTCAGGCTAGCGGATGTACCTTTCTGTCCCTATGGATTAAGTGCCTCATGGGAATGGATTGCCAAGCATTGGTACGGGAATTAGCAAGTATCTCTTTTAATACATATGCACTAAAGTTGTGAATGATGACTTTGGAATTAGAAGCAGGACAGAGCACAGCAAATCACCAAGATCCTTGGCAGGTCCTTTGGGTCATTTTCTTTAGTGACCATAATTTAGGGAGTCTTGTAGAGTTGTGTTGTGTGAATCCTGAGGTGAGACCCAGGTAGAGTACAGGGACAGGATTTCTGCGTTAGGCTACCAGCTGGGTGTATTCAGAGCATTATTGTGTTTATTCACTACTTTTCCTATTTTATTAGCGGAGAGGGATGTGTGTCTGCAGCGGGCACTTCAAATACATGGATGTTACTACTGCTGTGTCTTGATTGCTGATTTTTTTTTTCTTATTTTGTGGTTTACATTTGTCAGTATTTATGAGGAATAGGACCTTTTAAAAAATGGTGTTACGCGTTTTCACATAAAATCATTGAATGTGCACTAGAAATCCATCAGTGTGGTCTTTCCTCCAGTAAATGAAAAAAGTAATATTTTTTTGTCTTAATCTCATGAAAAAAGAACCCCAAACAACAAAACAATCAACACTCAAAGAAGTATTTGATAGCAGTTTTAAGTCAAAAAAGGCCTGGTTGAAGATTAAATTTAATCTTTCCAGATTTGCTAGGGAAGGGCGAAATTATCCTAAGGATTAATTCATGTGCTTAGTTATGTAGGTGAAATGCATGCATGCCTGTGTGTTTTAAATTCCACTTGTGTTTAGAAAATGATGCAGTGTGATATTGTGTTCAAGGCTATGCCTCTAACAGAGCTGTAGAATCAGTAGAAGAGGTAAGTGGAAACCCACTGGATGAATTCTTTAAAATGGGGCAAAGCAACAAAATATATTTTATCAGTATTGTTTCATTTATATTTGAAAATGCTGCCAACAGTGGAATAAAGTAGACACAGCTTTTCATTTTGGTAGGTTCTGAGAAAATGCTTAGAAAGTTTTGAGTCGCTCAATTATGACAGGTTATTATGAAGTATGAGAGCGCACTTACTGTACTACACTTCAGTAGATATAGATCTGAATTCTGTCCTCTCACACTAAAACCTGGTTGTGTGTTGAATAGAGTCATTTTAAAAAGAAAAGTGGATGGAGATGTAATAACTATAGCTAGCTTTCTATTATTAATTAATTGCTTAGGACCAGAATGGAGCTTGTGGTACACGTACATTCAGGGGCAGGGGAATAGTACAGAGAGATGTTTTATTGTATCATAGTCACTGTTGGAAATCCACTGTTCATCATTGAATATATGATGTTAGCATAAAAGTAATTAGTAATGCAGGAGGGAACCTAATTTTGAAGTATGTGGCCTAAAATTAAGTAATTAAAAAATTAGTCTGAGTTAGAAATGTTTCTGAGCTGTATCCCTGCTGCTTTTTCTGGGAAATACAGGTCATCAACAAAGAGCTCTCAAAGTCAGTCTGCTGCTACCAGCTGGCAAGGGAACCATGGAAATGTGCCCAATTTTTTAGTGAGGGAATAAATTAAATGGTGATAATAAAAGTTTCTAGCCCTTCTATTTGTGGAGAGCATCATCAAAGCTTGATCTGCACACTGACCATTTACTTACTCAGTGCCTCTGCTACAGCCCCGTGCCCTCTTAAAGGCTTTGCTGATCAAAAGCTAACTAGACTAAAGGGATTTCAGTCATTATTGGGATTTATTTTCAGCTTTGCTTTCATGCTCCTTTGGGACAAATATGACAAGGATTCAAAACTAATAGATAATGAAATAATGGCAAAGGCAGCAGGAAAAGAAAATGGACAAAACAAGCCACTGTATGAGTTTACACACTGGCAATAGTAGGTGGGTGGCTGGTGTTCAGGTGACAGAGGGACTCCTAAGCTGCCACCACCTCTTTGGGGTTTTTAACCTGACAGAAGCAGAATAAAAGAGGGAGCCTTTTGAATACTGGAACTAGTCAGTCCCTCTGCTCAGCACAAGTGGGTTCAGCCCTTGAGTTTTTCAAGCTCCATATTTTCATATTTATATTATTTATTGTTTTTCCCCCACAGTCCTCATTTTATTTTCTTATTTAAAGAAAAACAAAGCATGAGAATTTAATAAAATAATGTGCTGGTTTTGACTGGGATAGAGTTAATGTTCCTCATAGCAATTAGTCTGGGCAATGTTTTGGATTTGTGCTGGAAACAGGAATGTTCTTGTTATTGCTGAGCAGTGGTTCTACAGAGTGAAGGTGATTTTACTTCTCACCCCACCCCACCAGTGAGGAGCCCAGTGGGCAAGGGCTTGAGAGGGGACACAGCCAGGACAGCTGACCCCTGCTGACTGAAGGGATATTCCAGATCATGTGCTGTCATGCTCAGCATGTAAAGCTGGGGGAAGAAGGAAGAAATGGGGGGTGTTCATAGTGCTGATGTTTGACTTCCCAAATCACCATTGTGCTTGATGGATCCCTGCTCTCCTGGAGATGGCTGAATACCTGCCTGCTCGTAAGAAGCAGTGAATTAATTCCATGTTTTGATTTGCTTGTGTGCATGGCTTTTGCTTTACCTCTTAAACTCTTTATCCCAACCCACAAATTTTCTCAGTTTTACTTTTCCAATTGTCTCCCCATCCCATGCTGGGGGAGTGAATGAGTGGCTGTGCGAGGCTGAGATGCTGACAGGGGTTACACTACAACAAATAGTTCTCTGTACTGACATTGCATTGGGCAGATAGTTTGGAAATTTTATAGAAAGGTAATTTATAGAAAGGCCCCAGTTAACATCTGGTGTCATGACCAATTTCACAAACGAATTGCATGCCACAATGCTTGTAAAGTGAAGTATTTCAGTGAAAGAAAAACTAAGTACACTAAACACTTTGGAGTTCAACATGACTAACAATCACTATCTCTAAAAGCGGGGAGATATTTTCCATAAGAGTGAGGACTTGAACTATGCCCATTTCCCAGCATCCTCTGTGGAATGCACATGTAAATCTGGAGACCTCCTTTTCTATCCACGTTAACCTTCCTCCACCACTATATATGTCTAGTGCCCCTGGGGACATCGAGGGACAGGGGACCTCTGCCAGACATTCCAACTCTGGGCCATTCCTGCACCTGCATCTTGGGATAATGACATTTCCCCTTGCTTTAGGTGCTCCAGAGATTAGCACATGAAAAGTCTTGTTTAAAACAAAGTGTTACACTGGTGTTTTGCGGAGGCCTAAGTTGTCTGACCCTGTGTGTCAGCTAGAATAACATCTTGACATGCTCACAGAAACTCAGCTTGGGGGAAGGAGGTAAACAAACCATCTCTGTAAAGTTGCTTTGTACTCAGTATAGGGGATAATTTTTTTTCTTACAAAATTCAAGATTCATTCTTTTTTGGTTTTTAAACTGTTGGTTTTTTTCCTAATGGTGAAGATTTTGACCAAGGAAATGATGGTGGTAACATATCTCCAAGAATATCAATCACTGAGTTTGCGAGTGATTTGGGATGAAAAGTATGACCTTACCATCAGTATTCTGTCATGAAGTAAAGAATTTTTTCTCAGGAAAAGTCTATAAAATTATTTTATGAAAAATAGATCTGGAATAATAGGAGTTTACAGAATCCATCCAAATCAAGTTTTACAGTGTGGCTGGCACAGAATTTGCTGGGAATGGGAAGTTGACAAGTACCTAAAAATTGCCTTAGTGGCCCAGTCTTAGTCTCCTTATGTTTCATATATATAGAGACTTCATTTTTGCTGTATTTGAGTGAATGATCTCCTTTTAGTGATGGACATTACTGGTTTGACGCCACTGATTCTCCTTAGATTGAATGTAAACATCCAGCATTAGAGATTTAAACAAAGCTAGGGCTTGTGCCCCTCTTGTTTGTGGCTCGATTGCATCTGGAGTCAAAGAGCACTAAGCAGAGCTGCTGTTGGCCTCTTCCAGGGGACTCCTTACCTTGGGAGAATGTGCTCCAGCTCAGCTCTCCTCACTGCACCTGGGCTGGCTGCAGTAAGAGACAGCAGGTTTGCTTTGCACGTTGACGAGGGATTGTTTTGTGTTTAACACACAGACACCTAAGAGAGGAGAGATTTCTGTTTTAAAATAGCAGAGCACCTTAGGGTACATGTCATGGGTTTCTATATATTCCCTGGATTTGCTGGAGGGAGCACACATGGAGCTCTTTGCCAACATGTAGTTTTACACGTCTCCCAGTGAACTCGGATTCCCGCACGCAGCCTCACACTTTGGGACTGCGGAGAGAGCTGTGATATTTTCTGGGGGATTTGGATTGGATTAGGTTTCTCAAGTCATATGGGGGCCTTGCTAGGCCACGTTATAAATATGGTTTATAAATTGTCATTGAGGAAAATGTTGAATCTACTGCCTCCTACCCTTCTGTTTTTAGAAGTGTGTCTTGAAGTGTGTCAATGTGCTTTGTGTAGTGTTTGGGAGGACTGTAATAACACAAAATGTTTATCAAGTGTGGGAAAGGGATGGATGAGGTGTATTTCGGTATCCTTGAGCAATTTCCCCATGTAGAGGGGCACTGTTGCACGAGTTGGGAATTTACAGGTCTTGAAAGGCTTAAAAAGCAACATTTACAGCCTACAAGGGAGTGAGAGACAGTTATTGTGGCAGCGTAAAAACACTGTGAGCCCACGGGGCAGATGATGGCCCTTCCATGAGGGTGTTCTCCTGTCTGTAAGAGCAAGAAAGTCTTGTCCTGAAGGTGCTCCTTGCTTCCCAGAAACTGGAGTCCTCAAAGCAAACTGCTCATGTAAAGTGGTGTAATCATCACTGTTTACAAAAACAGCAAATGCTGACCAAACTGTAAATTTTCTGTCATTTAACCAGACAGACATTATATTTTCTCTTTCTCTAACTGCTGGGTTACTACCACATTAGCTGTTATTGCTTGACATTAAATTTAATAGCATAGTTTGTATTTTTAACTACTTTCTCTCATTATGATGGCTCTCTATCCTCTCCTTTCCTCATAGAAAACATGACAGAGAAGTGTAAGAAATTCTCTCAGAACTACCCCAGTTCTTTTCTGAGAAAATATGTATTATTTTTAGTACCATTTAAACTCTTTTTCCCCTTCTTTTCTTATTTTTAAGAGACATATTGCTGCTCTTTCGCCCTTTCCAAGCTGTCTGTAGTATTTTAAAAAAAATAGTTCAAGAGGACATTGCAAACTTGTTAAATCTGAATTTTGGCAGAAAATTTTAAACTTTTGCTATAGCACTTCAAAGTTAGAAGGAACTAGAGTTTGAAAATTGATGCAGATATAAGATGGCATATTTAATGACAGATGTATCTATAGAAACCTGTTAAGATGCAGATTATCCCCCTGGGGAGGGGAGATCAAAACTGCCAATCTATAAAATATACTTGTTAGGGGAAGGCATGGAATCTATCTCTGCGAGCACTTTGATTGCAGGGGACAGTGTAGCAGCATGTGGCATCATAACCTAAGAGCAGACAAATCAGCTTGATGACTTTCAAAGCCAAGAATACTGCTGGAGGCAAGGGTACTCCAGTCTAGAAGAAATTAAAACATATAGAGACTGTTATTAATTCCAGATCTATTTTTGTGTAGTCAAATCTGTATGCAAATCCTTAGCATCTCATTTTGGCAGATTAATCTAAAAGTGAAGAGCGGTATGTGAAGGGAATGTAATGATAAAACACCAGAGATGAGCAATATTGCAAGGAAAAAGATGTAAGCTGTGTACTTGATATGAGGCGCCCTTTGTGAAGGGAAGGAAATAATTTTCCTTATTTTATTACTTTATGAGGAAACAACACTCTTCTTTCTCTTCTTCCTTCACATCTTTCCCCCCAAATTAAGGTGTCCTTTCAGAATGGAAACGTATGACCCAAATTGTGTTTCAAATGTGTCTCCTGTAGTTTAACATTCTGGAGGTATCAATCCAAATAACTATGATTTTTATTTTTCAAAGTACTAGTCGGATGTCTCATTTTAGACATTGTGCTGGGAGTGAAAATAACTATATGTAAAAAAAAAAAAATCAAATTACAAAACAGATATTAGAAAAGATTGTTTTGTCTGGCTGGCTGATGCCCATTAGGAATGTGGAGGCTGCACAACAGTGTGGAAACACATAACAGATTGTGAGATCAGACACAGGAGCAGTCTTTGCTTTCCAATGCCTGTGTGTGCATTTCACATGTGCTTTGATGGGCAGGGTGTGGCATAGTGTGATGGAAACAGTTTGGACAGACTCCGTCTCATCCCGGCTATCTCTGAGCTGGGAGTTTGGGCTCCCATCCCTCTGGAGGTGCCCAGCACAGGCTGGTGCTTGCAGAGATGCACCCAAGTAGCAGCATCGTTTCTCCTTGCTGCTGCAGTTGAAGAAAAGACTCTAAAATAGATACATCTGTAGTTTCTGCTATAGATTCTTGGCCCCACTTAAGTTTTTGTGAGTGATCAGAGGGTAATTCTATGTCAGCAAGTAGCTCAGCCCAGTAGGAGCAGATCAGCAGGTAAAACCTTAGTACTAAGTTCTCTGTGTTTACTCCATGTACCTTTCACATGTTTTTGCTTTTGTTCTGGTCCTCTGGCTCAAATGTTCCCAGCACTCAGATGGTACAAAGCCAAAAGACCAGTTATTATTTCCCTCCTTTATGATGCCAGGAACTGGAGCATGGCCAGAGCACATCTGGAGCAGAGCTTCTGGTTTAACTTGAATGCACACCAGTCCCAACCTACAGCCTAAAATGACATAGGGGAGGTGACAGAGTTACTTCAAAATCACAATATGGCTCTGAACCAAAATGCTGCCCTCAGCCTAGCTGGAGGCTGGCAAAATGAGAATTCTCCAGCACAGAGCTTGGGGATAAAAGGGAAAAACCAACCCAGCAACCTTAGTGGGACTGGGTCATAGCTCAGCCAACAGGAATGTAAGTCACTGTGGCTGAAACAGGGTATGCCCTGACAAAAAGGGAAGTGTCAACAAAATAAAACATAATAAGATGAAGATCCTTCCTCTCATTGCTGCGGATTTTGTCCACTATTGGTATGTGCCATTAAAACTGTAATGTAAATAGTTTGTCTGTCAGTATGAGTGTCACTGGTGTGTGGCCACTGACATGCCCCAGTTCTGTCCAGACCTCGTGGCAGGATGAAGGTGAGGCACAGCTTGCAGGTGTTATTTCTGATTTCATCTTTCCATGGGCCCAGCTTGGTGACAGAGGGAGACTGGGAGCTGTGGCAGTGCTGCAGTGACCCCAGGAGGCTTCAGCACATTCAAAAACATGTTTGCACAGGTAAGATTACAGACTGAAGAAGTTTTCTGTGTTTACTTAGTGAAATTTGCCATTGAAAACCAAACAAGAAGAGGATGATTTGGCATTAAGTGTCTCTTTACTGTGTTGAGGTAAACAGCTGATTTCCAGCATCTAGTTGGGTCAGAGTCTATTCTGAGCTTTTCTGAGGTGCTTCACACCATGATTTCCTGACCACTATTGAAAAGTAAATGGTAGGGCTGTTTCTGGTCACTGAGGAACCTTCCCACCTAAGTTTACAACTAAATGAGATGTTTCCTATAACACAAATTAAGCACAGAATTTCTTTCAAATATATAGATAAGCACAGTTGCACAGGCTTGAACTTTTAACTGGCATTGGTATCCCCTGTCATGTTTTTGGTAAGGCAGAGCTTCTCTCTGACCTCTTCCTTCTCATTGGTGCAAGCCCACCTTCTCTTCTTTTAAACCCTGTCACACACTGTATGTTCCTTGGAACAGGAATGGTTTTTATTTTTGTGTCTTGATGAACTTTGAATGCACAGTTATGTATAAAGAGATCCATTGATCCATTTTTTACTCAATTTTGGCCCATAAAATTAACTCTACAAAGGAAGTGTATAGGGGCTGTTTGTTGATGCTGCTCTGCGTTACTGTATGCTTGACAAATGGAGCTGCTTTTTCCCTTGTAACCAGATTAAGTGCAGTGGAATGTAAGCAGATATGGTGGTATGTAGTGTAATTATTATCTGCAGATGAACTCTAGAATTGGTTATTTTACTGTACGTGATCTTGGTCATGGCTTTGCCTGTATGAAAAAATGTAACCTGTATAAACTCTTTTATAGGAGGAGTAACAAATACTGCACAATATCAAAATAGACTCATGGTCTATGATCCTAAGCAGGTGAGTATCTGTGTTATTTATGTTTTGTTTTGCTTCAAGCAGATCTCTTGGCAAATACATACAAAGATTTTGTAAGGCTAAAAGTGCTGACCATTTGAATTAGTGGTGTTTTGAATTCACTTTGTACTGATGTGTGAGTTTAACAGAGTGATGGAGACCCTGACAACTTATTATGTTTTTTAAGCCTGTAGGAATTAGAAACATCCTAGGTTAAATATAGAAATGGGCTTTAAATCCCCTGTATTTATCAGTATTTATTTTGCTTGTTCTTTTTTTATTTGTAATCCAGCAGCCCTGGGCAATGTATACTCAGACTCAGTGTTCCAAAACCACTCCTTGTCATTGGCATTTCTGTTTTGAATTGCATATATGAGTCTTTTTGTTTCCTGAATACTTTGAGAACTGTACTACCTGCCTGTGACTTACTCTGCTGACTGCAAGGGTGCCTATCGTTTCATTACCCAAGCACCTAAAATATCTTTTAGGGATTATTTCATACATAATGTATGTGTTTTGATTAGGTTAGCACGGCTCAGTAACCGTTTCAGAGGGTTAGGGCATGGTTATGCCCTCTTGCTTGTATTAGGAATTAAAAGTCCTAAGCTTGCAATCAGAGTTGCATAGCCTGATTTACACCCACGTGGAAGAGTATTGACTTTTCTGATTGTAGGATAGGGGCTTTGATTGCTGTATTTGGAGCAAAATTGTGCCAGGAGATACTTCTATGTGGTTCCCACTGACTATTTAAAGCATTGCACAAATGAGGCCTGAAGGAGAAAACAGGAGATGACACATCTGCCTCGTGCTTTTCGAGGTGCAGTTTTGTCATTGGCTACAAATGCTGACTGTCCTAAATCCAAGTAGCAATTACAGGCAGCAATCCTACTTTGCTTGTGAGGAGGACACATATTTGGATACCCTGTCTCTATTGTGTACCTTTCACTTGGGATTCTTCCCTTGCTGATGTGAAAGTTGCACCCCGAGTTACCTTGGGCTGCCTCAGTGTGCCATGCTGACGGCGAGGGGCCTGGCGCGTGAAGAGTTACAGAGGAATTGTGCACTTGCATTCTTCAAACGACGTCTGCTTCGTGTTTGTACACACAAGCTCTTTTTAAAAATTCTGCTGGCATATTGTTTACGGTGGGTACTGGAAACCATCACATCTGCTTGCATCTCGCACGGAATCTCAATAGCTCCATCACGGAGCCGCGGCGCCCGCTCCCGCGCGAGGCCTTTGTGGCGAGTCGATAATGCCTGCCATCTGCCACCGAGCACACAGCTACCTGCCAGCAAGCCGGCTGAGCTGACCTCTGCCTCCCCACCGCTGATTAGTATTCACACGCCGCCTTATTAGAAATGACCCTGCCAGGCCCCTCTGTTTCGCTGCCTTTGCAGTGCTTTGAGGCTCACCTGGCAGGCACTGCAGTGGAGGAAGCTAAAGATATAATCAGGGGATGCAGGCAGGCTTTGCAAAGCAGATGGTGTCTATAGTCTGATGTTAAGAGACTGGACTACTAATGCAAACATTAATGCCTAATATTCAACTATTACACATTGAAATGTATAGCTATATATTGTGGAGGTTAAAAGGCAGAAGGCTTAGAGGCTCTGGAGTTGCTGCACATGTGTCACAAAAAATTTCCTTACGGATTTTTAACTTCCTCCACTTAAATTAATCTTATCCCTTGCCAGGTCGTTTGATTTGGTAGGCATAGCAGGAGCAATTGTTTTCTCAGGTATAAAATACTCTGCTTTAATCCCTTTTCTTCCATATCTTCCATATCTTCCTGCCTCTCCCTGAAACAGGTAAAATTCTTGGATATTATTAATGAGTAAGAAAAATAGGGAAAAGATTGGAACTTTGTAAGTTGCCACAAATAAAGCGTTGACATTAAACCAAATGAATCATTTGAAAAGATTCTTTAGGAAATTATTTTTCCTGTTGCTTTATTCCCCAAGGATAAGATCAAATAAGCTTCTGAATAACAAAAGGCAGAAGAATCTCTTCTCACATAACAGAGCTCATTGGTACAGATAATTTTAGCACTGGATACAAAGGAGACATTTAATAGTCTGGTTTAAGGAAAATTTGCTACTGAGTTATAAAGGGAAAAAAAAAAAAAACCCTTTGAAACCTGATGAGCCAGACAAAAAAAATAGAGCAAGAAATGCCATTAAATTAGTGAACTTAAATATGAGAACCATAAACCATGTGTTGAAAGTCCACTGAATAAGGATTTATTCGGTGTTAGAACCAACACACACGTCTAGCATATGGCCAGAACCACTATATGCACTTGTGGTTCCTGGGCAAGGGTAAGACGAAGCCAGTACTGCGCTACTGTTCGTTGCACTGCCACTGTAGGTGTGCCTTCGAGCAGCGCTCAGACAAGCTCCCTCTCTCTCCAGAACAAGTGGTTAAGCCGTAGCCCGATGCTGCAGAGGAGAGTGTACCACTCCATGGCCGCTGTCCAGAGGAAGCTGTACGTGTTAGGTGGGAACGACCTCGACTACAACAACGATCGGATCCTGGTCCGTCACATCGACTCCTACAGCATAGACGCCGACCAGTGGACCCGTTGCAGCTTCAACATGCTCACAGGTGAGCGTTGTACAAAAGGGGAACTCGCTGCTGTTGAACTGAAACATCTTTTCCCTTTAGATGCCTTTAGTCTGTGGAACTCCATGAGTTTGCAACAAGTGCTTCCAATTTAGGGATCACTGTTAGCCAAGAAGACACTTTTCATTACAGTTCTGGCATTCAGTGGTCTACAAAGCATTTGTTTTCGTACATCATACATTAAATTTTGAAGAAGTTGCAGATAAATTTCATTTAATAAAGCAGTCAAAAATAATTTGTCATAATTGTTACTAGTACTGTTTTCTAATTCTGCAAAAGCTTTCTAATTCTAATTCTCCAAAAGCTTTCCTGTGGTATTGGTTTAGCTCCCTGTGTGAGTGTGCAAGAGACTGATGTGTCTTTACCATGTAGCATTGTTTTGTAGTGGTTTCTGCTGGCATTATAGGGCAAAGCTTTACTGAAATCTGTTAACTCTCACGTATTTCTAAACAGTGATAAATTAATAAATTACCCAAAAAGATGTGTCCTTGTTGGAATTCCATCAAGTCAGAAATTAATTGAGCCCTTAGCTAACTACAAGATCTGTAAAGTTCTTCTTCGCTTATTAGGAAGAACTGTTACAGCTGGAACTTGCAAAACACTGCAGCTCACTGTCCCTGCCACCCAGTCCACCAAAGTTCACCTGCACCTGATACAATTCCCAGATGATCCCCTTGAATCCCAGGGAGAAACATAGAATGATAGAATGGTTTAGGTTGGAAGGCACCCTAAAGATCGTCTAGTTCCCACCTCCTTCCATGGGCAGGGACACCTCCCACTGGACCCGTACTGCTCAAAGCCCCATCCAACCTTGAGCACTTCCTGGGACTGGGTATCCACAACTTCTCTGGGCAGCCTCACCACCCCACCCTTATGGTAAATACGTTCTTCCTAATATTTAATCTAAATCTACTCCCTTCCAGCTTGAAGGCAATCCCCCTTGTCCTGTCATTACATGCCCTTTTAAAAAGCCCCTCTCCAGCTTTTTGGTAGGCTCTGTGTTTGTAGTGGAAGGCCACAGTTAGGTCACACTGAAGTGTTCTCTTCTTTAGACTGAACAGACCCCAATCTTATCAGCCTTTTATCCTTGGAGACATGCTCCATCTCTCTAATTAACTTGGTGGCCTCCTCTGGACTTGCTCCAACAGGTCCAACTATCCTTCCTGTAGTGAGGTCCCCAGAGCTGGGAATAGCACTCCAGGTGGGGGTCTCACCAGAGTGGAGCAGAGGGACAGAATCACCTCCCTGAACCTGCTGGCCACACTTCCAGACAGGCATGTGACACATTTTTAGAGAAGCACCAACAGTAGGGTTGCTTGATTTCCAAGTCAGGCCATCAGAGTACTTGATGGACACTAGGGAGAGAGGCATAGATTAAAAAAGACTTGCACATGGTCAAACAGAACTAGTTTTAGATGTGTCTTGCTCACTAGTTAATTATTTTATTATGTGGAGGAACTGACAGCCTTTGATAAGGATGTCATCTGATTTGTAACTGCAAAACCCTGGCACTGCAGGCATCTTCTCATTCTGGAGCTGACCCTGTCCCACTGTGAGGCAGCCTCCTCTCCACTGCCTCCAGGTTGTTTCCACAACCTGTGCCTTAAGAAGCCACCTAAGCCTTTCTTCCTGTCAGTACAACTGGCAGTAAATGTTCCTGGTGAACTGTGTAGTGCAGATTTTTTTTAGGCTGTATTCTTCCTTCAAAACCTCCAAACTTGCTGGGAGACCGTTGCTATGGGGATGAACTTGTGCAGCAGCTCCTGTGATTTTCACCGTACTTGTACCTGGAGGAGCGGGGCTGAACAGGCGTGGGCAGCACAGGAGGGGCACTCGGTGGGGACCGTGTCTGTCACCTGTGGCGCACGCGAGGAGGGAGCGGATGGGCCCCTGCACAGCCACATTAATGCTCATCCCGGCAGCACCAGGCAGGGCTCCTGCAGAGAGCAAGGAACTGCCCCCACGCCTCACCTTCACTCCAACACGACAGTCAACTCACTGCCAGGAGTGTTTGCATCCCATTAGAGAACTCCAGCATTTGGTGTTAAAAGGGTTAATTAAACACTGAAAATGGTTTCTATTTCCTTCTTTGCTTTAGGTCAAAATGAGTCTGGAGTTGCTGTCCATAACGGTAGAATATATTTAGTTGGTGGCTATTCGATTTGGACAAATGAGCCTTTGGCATGTATCCAGGTGAGCGATTTAGGTTTCTTTTAAAGTCTTTTCCAATAATCTTGCAAGTATAAGTTTTGCACAGTTGTTATTAAAAAAGGAAAGTACATGTGAAGAGGAGAGATTAAGGATATTTCTTATGCAGCCACTGAACCTGCATAAACAGAGAGAAAATACTGTAGAAATTAAAACTATTTCCAGATGAGCCAAAAGATGCAATTCCTCTAAGATGTTCCAGTAAACCAGGGTTGAATTGTCTTTCCTTTGGCAAGGTTTGGATAAAATAATGCGTATATATTCACTGGTTACACAATCAGGTTCAAAATTAAAAGGGTTGCAGGGATAATGGGGCTAAGAATTTTTCCGCCCATATTGGGATTTTTCTTTTCTTTCCAAGTTGTGTTTCTGAAGGGCAGCCAGAGTTAATTAGTTGTTCATTCACCAAGTGCAGTCAGCCTGCTACCTGCCCTTCTGCTTACTGTTTTAAATCTCCAGTAGAAGTTTTTTGATCCCTGCCCTAGGCAATAGGTTGTCCAACAAACTCTTCTGCTCTCCCATCTTTTATAAAAGCAGCTCACCCGCAGATCCATGGCTTTCAGGTATTTTGGTACAGAAATTAGGAATTCTTATCTTTCTGCATGTTTCTGAGTGAAGCAGTTCAGCATCACAGCCACTGCTTTGTCACCAGCTGGGCAGTTAAAGGCAGAAACCCCTGTTTATATCTCAGTTTCTGCACTTTTGCTGATAAACAACATTTTTATTAGCTACCAACTTTTTGGATTTTAGAATTTCATCTCCAGACTGTCCCATAAGACTAGAAGTTAGGCTTAGCATAAGAAGGGAGTATATTAGGTGCCAAGATGCTGGTCTTATGTTGAACACTTAGTAGCATGAATTTGTAAAGAGTAAGATAACACAAGATAAACAGTTAAAAACATGTTCTGGTCACTAGTATAATTGTGTTTTAGCAAGTTGTTGGATACCACACCAAAAAATGTATTGGAAAAAGTAATTCATGCTGGCTTGGATATAGCTGACATATAATGCTTTGATGGAGTAATAGCACCATATAGAGGTAGCAGCTGTGCTCCACCAGTGGGCTCATTTATAATCAACAGGTACTCTGCAGTATTGCACCTGGGTTTTAATACGGCTTAGTGACAAGCAAAAATAATCCTGGGATCTTGCTTTCTTAAATGGACATTTGTCCACATCCCCAGACTGGTCGTGAACTGGCAGCCTGCCTGACACAGTCCCCACATAAAAGGGAAAAGAAATATAATGAGTGATTTGGCAGAGCTGTGTGTGCTGTCCCTCCTCAGCTGTTGGCAGTGTGCCTGGCTTTAACTAGCAAAACTAGCCCTTTTATCTTCCAATTGAGGAAAACTGAGGTTGCTCTCTCCTTTGGAAAAAAAAAATTCCATTTTTTCTTTAAATTTCTTTTCTTACTTTAAGTCAGTTTTTATTTGGCATTCCCATCTTCCATAGAGCTTCTGTGCCCCCTAAATACCTTGGAGCTGACAAACGATTTCTACTCTGTGCTAACAAGAGCCCTTCTACTCTGCAGAGTAATCCACTTGCATGGCTGCACATTCTCCTGCCAGGAAGCAGGATCCAATGTCATTGTTTGCTCCCCAGTGCCTGAGCACTCAGGTTTTGGGTTGGGTGATGAGAACAGCAAATGGATCACCAGATCCATAAATAATCTAAAAATTATCTTAAGCTACCTTTTCCACTGGGATTAATAGTAAATACATGAGGTGGGTGCCAGCAAATTTGTGTCAGCTTTCTTCTGTGATCCCAAAAATATTTTGTATGCTTTGCCATGCAGGTGCTGGATGTTAGCAAGGAGGGGAAGGAAGAGGTATTCTATGGGCCTACGCTCCCCTTTGCTTCCAATGGAATAGCAGCCTGCTTTCTTCCAGCTCCTTATTTCACATGCCCCAACCTTCAGACTCTGCAAGTGCCTCACCACAGGATCGGCACGATGTGACATTCCTTGCGCTTCACAGAATTGGAAGTGGAGCACCTTCAGACTCTGCAAGTGCCTCACCACAGGATCGGCACAATGTGACACATTCCTTGCGCTTCACGGAATTGGAAGTGGAGGAGGAAAACATCAAACCCTGTGTATAGAAGGGTTTCTCTGGGTCAGTGAGAAGAATCAATCCACTTGGGCTGCTGCTTTACCATTACACATTTGTCTTAAACTCAGCTCACAGCAGGCAGGCAGGAAGTTCCAAAGCCTGCGTGCGGTTTCTCTCCTCGGCCTCAGGCGCAGCAGCGGATGCGTGAGCGCGTTGTGCATTTCTGCGGTGACCACTTGCTACGTGTCCTCTTCATTTCCTTATGCAACTTCGTCAGGCATTGTGGATGCTCTCAGCTCTTCCTGGGCCGCTGCTCTTTGGAGTCTGCACATTCAGTTGCTCACCAGTGGCGCTTTCAAAGACAATAAAAAAGCTCTGTTTATGTTGACAAAGATGATATAATACTGTGCTAATTATGCAACTTACTCAATACCTTTGGCAAAAAGAATAACAAATGTGTTGACTTCCAATTTTGAACTCCATCGTTTACAGTTTCTCATTTAATAATACTTCATTTGAAATTTAAATACTTCAAAACAGATTAAAACAAAAATAAGAAAACAAGCCCTATAGGATATGAGGAACAGATAAAAATTGTCTCAGCTGTAAGGCAAAGAAAATGAAGACTCACGGTTAAACTCAAGTCTGAACTGAATGTGTTTGTCTGAGAATCTAAAGATTGTTTGGGATGTCATTTACCAAGGTCTACTACCAAATAAATGTTACCTTCTGTCATATGATCAATTCTGCCTGACAGCTGCAGTCTTTTAATGGTGGAGATCAGCCTCTTTACTATATAATTAAAATGTGCCATTTACTTAATATTTTTAATATCCAGTTTGCAAGGGGTCACCACATTTACAATTATCAATGAACAGTCTCGTTTTGTCCAACATATGGTCCCACAAATCACTGGTCTCCAGAGGCTAAACAGGTGTAGAACAATGTCAATATTTATTTGTTTATTCTTTCAGTTTATATAGCGTGTCTCCATTCCACTCTCCAGGCATATGCCAGCTCACAGCAAATACTCTAACCTGGTGTATTTTGGCTTTGCTTGGCTACTGCAGTCCCTGTCTCTTATCTCTGTGTTTTATTTACATATTGAACAAAAATGTCAATGTTTGTAAATATTAACCAAGCATGTAATTAAATCTTTCTCTATTTCTGATTTATGGATACTCTGCACTTCTCTGCCTTACCTACTGATCAGCTCCCTGCCACTGTGCTGCCTGAGCAGACCTATCAAATTCCTGCTGATGCTCCTGCTAATGCCACATGTGGAATGTGCTGCAGCAGTAGCCCATGCCTGCTGGACAGGAACAGGTTTGACTTTGTCCAGTGAGCAGTGCTTTCTTATCAAAACTATCTTTTAAGGGTCTGATTACAGGGAAGTAACTTTATTATCATTTCTGTCTCCTGCTGGGCAGTATACTGGAGGAACATCACCTTTCCTTTTCTGTACTTTTCAGGCTAGAATGTTTTATGGTTGGGTTTTTGTTGCTTTTGGTTGGTTTTTTTTTTTTTTTTTTTTTTTTTTTTTTTTTTTTTTTTTTCTCAGCTTCCTCACTTTCCTTGCCTCGAGCAGAGCACAGTCTTTGCCTGGCACACTGGCTCGAGTTGCTAACAGCATCTCCCTCTGTGCAAAAAGCACACCTGTATCTAGGCAGGACTTTGCTCTGTGCTGCGTTGGAGCTGGATAGGCTGTACATCAAGACACGTTTTAATTTCTTGATTTAATTTGTTTGATCTCCTGGAAATCTGCATGCAAGGGACAACTCTCTGAACAGTCCGTTTACAGGAATTGTTTTCCTTTGTGGGCTGCAGGGCCCAAGCCAGGCAAGTATACAAACTTTGACTTAGGTGTGGCTTTCAGGGACAAAAATGGAGTATATGTCTCATTTTCAAGAGAAGGGTGGCTAAAATAATCAAAATGTGTGCAGGGGCTTTGAGTCTCATCCTGGAGGTACCACATTAGGTGAGAGATCTGCTTGTGTTTTGGGGGCAGAACTGACACTTCCTGTTTGTAAAGCCCAGGGCACTTCTGGACAATTGTGCAAAGTGTGTTTTCTATGTCTCAGCTTAGTTTGGAGACTTTTATTCCTAAGTCTCACAGCTTACCACAGCTGTAGCTATGGAATCATTTCTAAACTGCTGCTTCTGGAGAGCAGGGGGAGGGATTAGGATGGATCAGGATGACTGCTGAGCAGCAGCAGAAAGGGGCAGCAATGGCCTGGGTATGAGAAGCAGAGGGGAGCAGCTTCCTTATGCAGAGCAGCATGTGCCTCTTGGTTCGAGGTCTGAAAGGCAAGAAAGTTGTTTATCATGTTTGTTCTGCCTTTTAGACACTTCTACTGCTCTGGTTGTTGTCACCAATTGTCTGCACTGTGAATGGCAGTTTTAAACAGCTGTGCAATTGCATTATATTGGTTAGGGGCACCTCTGCCACAGAGCCTCAGGACAACACATATGCTCCTATTAGTGTCAGGATCCTGCTCTGGCTCTTAATCATCAGGCTCCACTGATTACAGAGGTCTTTCACAGCAACCTTAGTCATTTAGGTTTTTGTGTCACACTTTCCTATCTGGGTCTTTCTGCTTTTTTTACAGGACAGATGGAGGGTGCTTTGCTGCACCTGAAGTCAGAAAATGCTGCATAGCCCTTGCCCGATGAGCAGAATGCAGTTAATTATTACCAGGTAAGAAAAGGGAGGAGTGTGCATGCAAAGAGCAGGCAGAGAGCACCCTGCTGTGGCTGAGGGGTCTCAGCTGGAAGGAGCGAGGATGGGAGAGCAAGGCTGGCTTCAGCTGCCACCTGCAGCTGTGCAGGACTCCTGCAAAGGCTGCCTGGGGAGCTGAAGTTTCTGAATCATCATGTCCTCGCTTTGCCATCCTTCCATGGAATGTCTCTGGCTTCTAAAACTGCCATGGTTACAGAATCCTGTGCATAACCTCCTGATCCACCTGTGATGTTCTAAATTTTGTACTATTTTAGGCAGACATACAACTCTGAACCCAACTTTTGTCCCTATCCAGCCTATTGGTTTTGGTACTCTGGCACAGTTTAGCTCAGTTTTCCCACACAGCCTTAAAGCTGTCCAGAACAAGAATATTATTTCCATGCTTGCTGCTTCTTTTGCCACAGTCTGATCATCACAGAGGGAGAGCAGATGCCAGCACAAGTCATTTATCCAACTAGGAGTGCGCAAGGTAAGGGGCCAAGTTGCAACCAGTGAGAACTCACTAGTTCTTCAGGGAAAGAGCTGTCCTTACCAGTGAATAATGCAGCAGTTACTGACTCCTGTTTGGAAGAGGGTGCAGTTCTATGCCCTGAATTCCTTAGATTTACACATTAAGGCTATTTGTATCTGCAGCTAAAACTTTTGGGCCATAAGATCTTGAAGAGCTGTACTCTGATCTTTTTCAGGCCACACCCATAAAGAATACTATTCTATCCTTTATATAGCTTTAATTAAAGTATATAAATATATATACTTCACAAGCATCAGCAGCACCATAAATATATATACTTCACAAGCAGCAGCAGCACCAACAGCCTCTTCTGCCACACTGGTGCCTTTTGAGCATTTCACACCCAAGTGCTGACTAAAGGAACACTCACACTTGATAAGCCAGTGTGCAGCAGTTCTGCTTCTGTACAGTAATGTTTTTGTAATCCTTTGCCTTCTAGTTGTGGCTTACGATTTTCTTCTTAGTTTAGCAGCTTTTGAGCCAAGTTCCTGACTTTCAGAAGAGCTGAAACTTCTGTAAGTTTTTTTCATCTAAATTTTGCCTTCCCCAGTTACCCTCCCCCAAACCTGTACAGACATTTAGTACATCACTTTCAGAATCGCGGAGAAACAGATAATTGAATATTCACACATGCAGAAACAACCCAGGCAGAATGTGGAACAATGTGGAAACAGGCGCGAAAAGAGGCGGCATCTGTTTATTGAGAATTAAAATGTAGAATAAATTAAGAGGGCAAGGTTAAAACACTTCATCTGCAGACAGAGTTTGTAGGGGAGGAAGACTGCAGGAAGTTTATCACATAGACTGTGTATAAGGGACTTATGCAGTTCTATTTTTGCAAAATGAAGGGGTTTCCCCCCTCCCAAGGACACTTTATAAAGGGATAAAGTGTCCACATAAAGAATGGTTTTCCAATAGAGATGATTATATATAGCAGTTTCACAGTAATGCCAGAATTAAAATGCTAAAAACGCAATGCTTCAAGTACTGAAGAACAGAATAAGTATTTTTAGCAATACCCTAAATTCATGTAAGCAAATGCTGTGCTAATTTTTCCTCTGGTGCCTATGCAGGTCATGCTGCGCCTTTCTAAAACAAACAATGAATTTAGCAAATTTGCATTTTTAATGCCTGTTTTAGTGTCATTCTGCAAGAAGAAGGGTAGAGCCAAGATAGTGTTTGATGGACTGACAAACGCAGTGATTTTGGATGTAGTGTGGAATTACTCTGCTGGCATTTCCAAAGGCCTGTAAAGATACCACATCTAGGAATAGAGGATCTGAGCTTTTGCTTTTTTTTGTTGTTGTTGTTGTTATGTACATACCTTTGTGCTTTGTGCATTAGGCTTACAAAAGGTTTATCACTTTAAAGCTGCTCAAGTAGACAAAAGCCATATCCTAGTCATTCATCATAAAACAAGCTTAATTATGCTAGGACATATTGACACTGCATCATATTTTTAATCTTCAGCATAATTTTATAACCATTACTAACAGATGGGCTGATTACACTGAATTTGGGTTTTGAGTAATAGTTAAAAATTCTAAAATATAATTAAACTGAAAATACCCATTGCATGCCTAATTTTTAAAAAGCTTCTGAAAGAAGGAAAACCAGAGTGCAATAAAACCCCTTTTTTTGTTTCCTGAGGGAACTATATTGCATTTAAGTGCAGAGTTATCAA